CCACAGATGGAAAACTAAGACCAAGAACAGTTACGCCACTTGCCCAAGATCACAAAACAGAGCAAATTCATGGCACAACTAACATTCAGAACTAGGTCTAGTTCCTCCTGAGCCATTGTTCAAAGACTGCTGATTTTTGGCATGATCCACTTTTGAATTCTATTTTTTTAATCTCATTTTTTTTAAATCCCAAAACAATAGTCCAAGGACTAAAGACTAATTGTTCTTTTTAATGATTTTCATAGTAGCTCAAGTTTCCTGTAAATCATGCCTCTTACTCAAAGAGATGTCCCAATCCCCCAGGAATGGTGCCATGCGACCGTGCCCATTGAATTCTGGGTTGGGGTAACTGGAGGGCTCAGCCCCAGAGACTCTTGGTTGCCCCCCAACAGCAGGAAGAAAGAGGAGAAACTGGACAGAAAAAGAACCAAGACTGTGGTGGACACCCCCACCCCCCGCCTCCACCCTGCCGGTGCCAGGAAGCAATTTCACAACCCCAACCCCTCCCTTTTCTCTACCTGGCTCCAGTTCAACCCCAAACAGGAACAGGTTGAGGGGTGGTATTGCCCCATGGTTGGTTCCCTCACTTCCGGCCCAGGCAGGTATAAAGTCACTTTCCCAGGTCAGAGGAACCGAGAAGGGAGAGAGAAGAATCACCATGTCCTCCCAGAGCCGAGAGCAAAGCCAGAGGTAGGTGCCCACCCCACCCAACTGGGCAGGCCTAGAGACATACAGACACTCTGCCAGACCAACTGAAATCACAGGGGCAGGGGCAGACCTGCAGCTGGAACAACTAACAGACTCACTCCCATACACACACACACACACACACACACCTGCAGAAGCCCCGGGAGAGTCGCTGGTGGGGCCGGGAAGTAACTGGGCCATAGTAACCAAGGCTATATAGATGGTTTTGAGGGCTCCTGGATGAGGGCAGCCATTGCGGAAGGGACCAAGAGAGCAGGAAAAGCCCTAGCCTCCTAGAGGGGGTGTCACCGTAGACCACCCTCTCCCAAGGTCGAATGCCTGCCTCCAGGCCTGACCCAAGCAGAAAATATTTTCAGATTCACGTGTTTGCACCTGGAGCTCTGGGTTAGTGGAGGTCACCCAGCTGACCAACATGGATAACCCCTTGTGCCTGGCTTCATGCTGAGAAATACTGAGGACCTAAGTGGCCCTTCCCTCAAGGATTCTCCATGAGCTGAGGGAGATGGAGCCAGACCCAGACATCCTCAACCTGTGTGATCAGGGCTAGAAAGAAAGAGGAGTAGCCTCGAGGGGAAAATGAACTCTGCTTGGGGAGAGCAGAGAAGGTTTTGTGACAAGAGGGCATGGGAGCTGGGGCTCTGCAGGATGAGTAGGAGTTCACTGGCTCAGCCTTCAAAACACTAAGCCAAAGAGGTAAGAACTGACACAGAAAACCAGCCAGATCAGAAGACACTAGTAAGGTGGACTTCAAATAATTATTAGTCCATGGAGGTGGAACTGGCAAGGGGTAAGGGTAGTGTTTAGGAGTCAGACTCAAGTTGCATACAATTAGAATTCTCCCTGAAACGGGGTCATTCTGACAGCTGGGAGGAAGCTAAGGCAAGGGGTGATTGTACTCGTCCAGGGAGTGAGGAGGTGGCATAGACCAGGTGGTGGTGTTGGAGATAAAAAGGAAGTGGGCAGACTCTGGGTATATTTTGACCCTGCTGTGCCTACTTTAAGGAGCTCTATGGTGCAGTGACTAAGCATTTGCCTGCTAACCAGTGGGTTGGTGGTTCAAACCCACTAGCTGCTCTGTGGAAGGAAGACCAGGCAATCTACATCTGTAAAGATTTACCACCTAGAAACTCAATGGGGGTCAGTATAAGTCGGAATCAATTTGAAGGCAGTGAGTTTGTTTTTGGGTTTTGTGCCCACCTTAAGGAGCTCTGAAGGTACAATGCCTAAGGCAGCTGACTGGTAACCAGAAGGTTGTTGGTTCAAACCCACCAGCCACTCCGTAGAAGGAAGCTGAGACAATTGACTTCTGTAAAGATTTACAGCCTTGGAAACCCAACAGGAGTCGCTATGAGTTGGAATCAACTTCCTGACAGTGGGTGGGTACCCATCTTTGTTTATTAATAATCATTGCCTGCAGCCCAGAGGACCTTGACCCCTGTCTTTCTAGAACCCTCCTCCTGCTGTTGCTGTTAATGGCCTTGACCTCCAGCCTCAAGGCCTGCCTGGTGTCCAGTTCAGCCAATGGCAGCTCTGTCTCCTGCCACCCACCTGCCAAACCCCCCCACCACCTCCCAGCTAACACTGTCTACCTGGCGGTGGAGTTCTTCAACCTGACTCAGCTGCCGGCTGACACTCTCCAGCGCACCCCTAACCTCCAGGAATTACATCTCTCCAGTAACCGGCTGGAAAAGCTCTCTGCCGAGTTCCTACTGCCTGTGCCTGGGCTGAAGGTGCTGGATCTGACCCGCAATGCCCTGGCCCAGCTGCCCCCCGGCCTCTTCCAGGCCTCAGCCGCCCTCCACACCCTGGTGCTGAAGGAGAACTGCTTGGCAGACCTGAAGGCCTCGTGGCTGAAAGGTTTGAAGGCCCTGACGTATTTGGATCTGTCTGGGAATCACCTCCGGATGCTGCCCGCCAAGCTTCTGGTCAACCTCACGGCTCTGCAAACCCTTGACCTTGGCGACAACCAGCTGGAGACTTTGCCCTCTGACCTCCTGAGGGGCCCACTGTGCTTGGAACGGCTGCACTTGGAGGGCAACAGGTTGAGGGCGTTGGGAGAGGACCTGCTGGCACCCCAGCCTGGCCTGCACTACCTCTTCCTGCAAAACAACAGTCTGTCGGAAGTGGCCGCCGGCGCCTTCCGGGGCCTGCGGGAGCTGGACATGCTGGACCTCTCTAACAACCTGCTGAGCAGCGTGCCCGCGGGGCTCTGGGCGTCCCTAGGGCAGCCGGCCCGGGCCATGAAGAATGGTTTTGATATCTCTGGCAACCCCTGGGTCTGCGACCAGAACCTGAACGACCTCTATCACTGGCTGGTGGCCAACAATGACACGATGTTCTCCAGGAAGGACACACTCTGCGCTGGGCCGGACACCAGGAAGGGACAGATGCTCCTGGAAGTGGCCAGGTCCCAGACAGGTTTGGGGGACACTGCACCCCACTTCTAGGTGTGACATTTGGGGTGTTTCCATAGTTGCCCAAAATTCCTTTTGGCCTATGTTTCCCCAAATACACCTTGGGCCTTCTGGCCTCCTTGTCTTTGTCCAGCTGTGTTTTCTGACAGACACCCCTTTCTCCTCATTTCCTCCATCTCTTGGTTTCTGGGCTCTCCCAGCCACCTCCTGGCCCTGCTCTGGGAGTGTCTTTGTCTAGCTCTGTCTTCCTCAGACTGGGGGGTGTCCCTGAGTGCAGGTCTTGGGGCTGCGTCTCCTCACTCAGTTTGGGACCCGGTCTGAGGGTTTAGTAAAGAACTGTTGAACAGAATTCAATGACCATATTCAGTGTGCTTCTTGCCTCTCCCACTCAGCTTTCTAGGCCTCCAGGATGAGGGAGGGGGCGGGGGGTGGAATCCAGGGCGCGGGCTCCCTGTAGATGGCAACTGGGATCTGGTGGCACCTGTCTCCTCCTCCTCCCCCCATCCCAGACTGAACTGGAAATAAAACTCTGACCATTGCCCGGGTGTCGTTTTACTGAGGGACTTCTGCCAAAGCCCATGTCCCAGGGAAGGTTGAAATTAAACCACATAGCTTCACGTCTCCAAACAATTTGTCCTGCTGGCCTGTAAACCCTTGGGGGGCTCCCACACAGGATGGGGTGGGGAGGCTGGCTGGGGCTGCAGGACAGGGCAGGCACAGGGGTCTGTGTGCCCATAACTCAGACCCTGGAACTACTTGCCAATTCAGCTTGGGCAAGGGGGATTGCAGGAACCTGGGATGTTGGGAAGGTGCTCTAGTGGTGCAGTGGTTAAGTGCTCAGCTGCTAACAAAAGGTCTGTGATTCAAACCCACCAGGAACTCCATTGGAGAAAGAGCGGGCAGACTGCTTCCACAAAGATCGACACTGTGGGGCTGTTCTCCTCCCTCTGTCCTCTAGGGGAGCTGTGCGTTGGAATCAACTCAGTGGCAGGTCTGGGATGTTGAGGCACAGGGTAGCCAAATAGTGATGCCCACGTGTTTTCAGATGCCCTGGAAGGAGTGTGGAGCCATTGTTGTTGTTGTTATGTGCCATGGAGTCGACCCGACTCGTAGTGACCTCTCCTTGGGTTTCTGAGGCAATATCACTATAGAAGGGAGTGGCTGGTGGGTTTGAACCGCCAGCCTTCTGGTTAGCAGTCAAGTGCCTTAGGCACTATGCCACCAGAGGTGTGGTAATGAGGGCTGGGTTTGAACCAGCTCCCTCCCTCCTGTGGGTCCTGAGGCAAGGAGTTTAGGCTTTCTGAAACTCAGTTTGCTTATCTGTAAGATGGGGATCTGAGGGAATGGGCTGGCCTGGCTCTTGACTTAGCCAAACCAACCAGCCAACCAACCAAACAAACAAGCCTGTTGCTGTGGATTTGATTGAAACTCATCACAACCTTATGCGGGGCAACTGGCTTGCACTGGACCACTAACCTAAAGTTTGGGGCTTCTAACCCACCATCAGCCCCACAGAAGAAAAGCCTGGCCATCTGCTTCTATAAAGATGACAGCCAAGAAAATCCTGAGATAGTTCTACTCTGTAACACAGGGTCGCCATGATGGCTTATTGTTGTTGCCGCGATGTGCCTTCGAGTCAGACCTGACACATAGTGACCCCTCCTCGGGTTTCCGAGAAGTAGCCCTATGGAAGTAGATTGCCCAACCTTCCTTCTGAGGAGTGGCTGGTGGGTTTGAACCACCGGCCTTCTGGTTAGCAGTCAAGTGCCTTAGGCACTACGCTACCGAGCCATGATGGCTTAATTAACCAAAAAACCACTGCCATCGAGTCAATTCCAACTCATAGCGACCCTATAGGACAGAATAGAACTGGCCCATAGGGTTTCCAAGGCTGTAACCTTTACGGAAGCAGACTGCCTCATCGTTCTCCTGCAGAGCAGCTGGTGGGTTCCGCTGACCTTTTTTGGTTAGCAGTTGAATGCTTTACTGCACCACCAGGGCTCCTTGGCTTAATTAAGTGGTAGATAAAAAATAATTTTTTAAAAAAAGAAAGAAAGGCAGGCGTTGGGAATTTGCCCAAGGTCACTGAAGGAGGTGCAGGAGCAGGAATTGCCCTCCATTGTCTCCGCAGCAACAGCAGGGTGGGTGACAGGTGGCCAGACCTGCGCGGGACAGAAGCAGCCCAGTCCGTGGGCAAACAGCGTCCCAGGGTTGCTTTGTCAACCTCCAGGCGAACCACCAGGCGTTCCGCCAGCACAACGGGAGGGCTGCAGGAGTCTGGAGCCCCGCCCCAGAGTCAAGCCCCGCCTCCCAGACACGCCCCCGAATACCCCTTCCCCATTGGTCAGCCCTGAGGAGGTCCCGCCCCCAGAGTTGCTATAAGGCGGGCGGGCGGGGCCAGCGGGAGGGGCGGAGACTTGAACCAGAGACTGGGGTCCACGGAGGCAGTAGGGGGCTGAGGCTTTGCGCGCCAGGTGAGTGGCGGCCACGAGTATCCCGCAGGCTCCTAGGGAGACCCTGGGGCTGGAGGCAAAGGGTCCGGGGTCATGCAGCGAGAAGCGGGGCGACGGGTGACCGCAGCAGGTGTCTAAGACCCTTGGCACAGTTGGCAGAGGTTCAGGACCCAGTTGGGCGGAGCCCAGAGCTCGGAGGGCGCGGATGGGGCTAGGGGAAGAAGAACTTCAGGCCAGGAGTTCAAAAGTGAGGTCGTGCTCCCTGCTTTGACCCTGGCTAGCTAAGTGACATTGGGCCCACCAAGGACCCGCTGAGTTCCTCAGTTTCCCTCTCTGTCAAATGGAATATGGTTTTATTGAGATTCTGTAGCTACCTTCACCTCTGCTTGGGGCTGCTTCTGTCTGAGCAGGGGCCAGCAGGGATCTCCCTCATTTTACAGAAGAGGATACAGCCAACCCAGAGAGGTAAAGGCACTTACCCAAAGTCACACAGCAGGTAATGTGAGAATTCAAACTCAGATCTCTGAGCATAAGACTGGTGCTTTGAACCGCTGGAGTGCCCCAACACCTCATCTTGCTAAAGGCTCTTTAATGTCTTGTTTGAGTACTGTCTACACCCCTTACCACCCTCTGACGTTGCTATCACCATTACTCCCTCTTGTAGATGAGGAAACTGAGACCCCAAGAGGGAACACGAGACTCACCTGAGCACACAGCTCACCTGGGCAGAGCTCGAGGCCTTGGCAGGAGCAAGGAGGGTTGGCATGCAGGGACACCCCCCTCACTCTGTCTTGCCCCCAGGGTGACTGTTTGCAGCAGGCATGTCTGAAGACGAGGTGGCTCAGGCCCCGAGGCCCAGAGTATTGGAGCAGGAACAGCAGGTGAGGGGCTGCCCATCTGTGGAGCAGGAGCGCAGGGCAGGGTGGGGGAACAGTGCTCCTGACCCAGTGTCATGCAGCATGTCCTCTCCCACACTCACCTTGGCTGGGAGAGCTTGACTCCAAGGGCATAGGGACAGAGGGGAGGGGAGAGCTATCCCGGAACATTCACTTGGTCTCTACTCTGCCATCTCTGGGTCCCTGACTGTACCACTTGGCCTCTGTGTCCGCCATCATGGCGCCCTTAACAACAACAATCCCAGCATATCCTGGGCGTCAGTCACTGGTCCACGTGTTTCACATGGATTGGCCCATTTAATCCCCATTAAAATGGTGGTGCAGTGGTTAAGCACACACCTGCTGATCAAAAAGTCAGAGGTTCGAACCCACCAGCTGCTCTAGGGGAGAGAGATTCGACAATCTACTTTCACGAAGATTACAGCCTTAGGAAACCCCACGAGCCACTACTTCTACTCTGTCCCATAGGCTCGCTACGAGTCAGCAATGGGTTGGTACAATCCCAGAAACCCATTTTACAGATGGGAAAGCTAAGGCACTGAGTAAAGACACTTGCCCAAGCTCACACAGCTTGGAAGTGGGTTGAACCTGAATCGACTTGTTCCAAAAGCTACGTTGCCTCTGGGTGGTAAATCTCTTCCCTCAGTCATTTCAGAACTTGTGATTCTGTTTAGGGCCCATCTCACCATGAAGAACCTGAGGCCCTGAGGGCAAGGCTGTGACTGTCTCCCATTTGTCTACTGCCCCACAGCCTGTACCCGGTTAGGCACTCAATATGCTTGTCCCTGACTGTCTCCTGCTGGCCCTCCCACCTGGTCCTGGCCCAGAGAGGGGGAAATGGACTTAGATGTGGCTGAACCCCCACCTCCCTGTGGTCTTTGCTGACACCACCCCTCCCCACAGAATGTGGTACAGCGCGTGGTGGCCCTGCCCCTGGTCAAGGCCACCTGCACTGCGGTCTCTGATGCTTACAGCGCAGCCAAGGACAGGCACCCACTGCTGGGCTCTGCCTGCCGCCTGGCTGAGCACTGTGTCTGCGGCCTGACCTCCCGTGCCCTGGACCACGCCCAGCCACTGCTCGACCACCTGCAGCCCCAGTGTGAGTCACTCGCCGGGGTCCCTGGGACCTGAGGTGCCCCACTGCCCTGTCCACCCCACTGCCCTGCACGGCACACCCTCAAAGTGTTCCCCTGAAGTGACTCCTGTCTGCCTGTCCCCTCTCCCACCCTCAGTCTGTAACCCTGCCCTTCATTAGTTTGTCCCACTGTCCCCCTACCAGTCTGTCCCATGTCCCCTCAGTCTGCTTGTTCTATTCCTTTCCAGTTTGACCACCCCACCTCTGCCCTTCCTGTTTACTGCGGCCCCTCCTCTCGGCCCCTGCTCCTGCTCCCTCATCCACTGGCCACAGGGGACCACAGCTTAGGTCCATTTATCAGCCCATCCTCCCTCACCTGTCTGTCTGTCCAGCTCGCCACATCTCCTGTGCCCAGTACGGGACTCCAGCCTGGCAGGGACGGGGGTGGAAACACAAAGACCCTTGGCATCTCATCTGATCAAAAGAGGGGATTACCTACTAGGGGTCCCAGCCCCAGGCCTCCTGTGCACCCTTCTTAGCAGCCACTGGGACCTTGAGCCTACCTGCTGCGGCATCTGTGCTGGGCAGGGGAATGGAGTCACCTTGGTGCTGGGGCGGCTAGGACAGGGCAGGGGATGCGGGGCCAGTCTAGTGCTCCCCAACCCAGGGCCCCACCCTCTCAGGGAGTCTGCCACTTGCTGGGGACCCAAGGTTCCTCCTGTCTCTTTCTCTCCCTCCCTCTCCTTCTCCCTTCTCTTACGTCTGTCTGTCTCTGTCTCACTCCCTTTCTGTCTCTCACTATCTCCGTCTCACTATCTCCCCGTCTCTGCCTCTCTGTCTCTCCTCCTCTATGTGTCTCTCCCACTGTCTCTCTGTCTCTTTTTTCAGTGTCTCTGTGTCTCCTCTGCCCTCACCCCCTTCCTCTCTCTCTCTCTCCAGTGGCCACAGTGAACGACCTTGCCTGCAGGGGCCTGGACAAGCTGGAAGAGAAGCTGCCTTTTCTCCAGCAGCCTTCGGAGACGGTACCTGATGACCAGGCTGGGGGCACCCCCATGGGGTGGACCAGCGTGCGGGGGGAGGGGAGATGGCGCCTCTTCCCGGACCAGCCAGACCCTGGGGCAGTCAGGCAGCTGTTCCCTCACATGTTCTCACAGTCCTCTCCATTCATTCATTCACTCATTTTGTTGTTGTTGAGAGTGGGCATAGCAAATATACACCAATCCAACAGGTTCTGCGTGGACACATCACTGACACTGGTGCCAGCCTTCAGGTTGCGTCACATTCTCACCCTCCTTTGCCGAGTTTCTTCCCCATGAACATGAACTCACTGCCCCTAAGCTTCCTATCTCACCTTTCAGTTGCTGTTGTCAATTTGATACCAAAAAGTTTTTAAAACAGCGTAATGCTGTTAAGCTAAACTAGTTCAGCTAAACTGCTGTTTGGTTTAAAGAAGACTTAAGTCTTGCCCTCTTAAGAGGATATTTTTGGTTTAAAATTTAAAGATTAACTCAGGGCAATAGTTTCAGGAATTCATCCACCCTCCATAGCTCCAAAAAGGCTGGAGTCCATGAGAATTTGAAATTCTGGTCTGCATTTTCCCCGCTTTTGATCAGGATTCTGCTGTACAGTCTTTGATCAAAGTGTTCACTAACGGGAGCTGGGCACCATGCAAGTGTTCTGGTCTCATGGCAGAGGAGGCAGTTGTTCATGGAGGCAATTAACAACACACATCCATTTCCTCCTCTAATTCCTGACTGTCCTTCTTCAGGGGGGACCTTTATCATCCCTCATTTCATACAAGAGAAACTGAGGCCTAGGGCCGGGAAGGAGGCCAGGGGACCCTGATCCCATCTCCGTGGAGCTGGGGTGCAGAGGTGGTGGAATGGGACTGGAGACTCGTGGTGCCTGGAGTGAGGTACCCTCCCTCCAGGTGGTGACCTCAGCCAAGGATGCGGTGGCCAGTGGCGTGACGGGGGTGGTGGGCCTGGCACAGCGGAGTCGGCGCTGGAGTGTGGAGCTGAAGCGTTCCGTGAGCCATGCCGTGGATGTCGTGCTGGGCAAGTCGGAGGAGCTGGTGGACCACTTCCTGCCCATGTCAGAGGATGAGCTTGGTGAGGCCCCCAACCCTCCTACTCAAGTCCCTGTTCCCGGGCTATGGATCAGAGAGGTTTGGGACTCCCCCAGGCCCACACAGCACATCACATCAGCAGGAAATCAGAACTCAGACCTCCCCATCTACTTTGTGGCCGCCCACCCCAGTCTGCATCCCATAGAAGTCAGACCACCCCAGGCCCTGAGAGCCTTACGAGGTTCAGGTCTCAAAATGGTGGCCCTTCTGAGTGTATTATGTGGTCTGTGCAATGTCTTTAAGCAGCTCTGATGGTACATACTCAGCTGCAAACTCAAAAGTTGGGGGTTCTAACCCACCCAGTGGCACCTACTGCATGCCAAGCACTTGAGTCAGAGTAACTCGACAGCACCTAACAATAATAACAAGCGGAAGAAAGTCCCGGTGATCTGCTTCCAAAAGTTCACAGCCATTGCAAACCCTGGGGAGGCATTCACTGTAGCACATGGGGCCACTGTGAGTTGGAATCGAGTCGAGAGCAATGGTTTATTATTATTATGACTTTTCTTGTGGTGAAAACATATACAACAAGACATTCACCGACATGACAACTTCCCCATTTTTAGCTCAGGGACACTGGTGACATTTTTCATGTTGTGCCACCATCATTGCTGTCCTTTTCCAAAATATCCCACCACCATGAGCATAGACTCAATGCCCTGCAAACAAAATCTTCCCCTTTTTCCCTCCCTCCTACCCCTGGTAACCACCAATAATCTTTGGTTTCTATATGTGTGTATGTGTATATATATATATACATATATGTATGTATGTATGTGTATATGTATTTATGTATGTATGTATATGTATGTATACCTATCTAGGAATTTTCCCTCCCCTCCCATCAGTTTTTGGTTTTTTAAGATTTCACACTATGGATCCCTATTTCTGGCTTCTCTGGAAAAAGTAGACATTTCGGCTACAGAGCATGCACTCTTTTACATTGGTACCCCCAAACCCACTGTTCCCCCATGTTCTATGTCCCATCTGCCTCACTCATTCTCCACACCTGCCTGGCCCCTGGAGACAATTTGATTTTTCAACTCCTGCTTTACAGCACTAGATGAATGTGCTAGCTTACCCACCTCTCGGCAGAAAGGCAGCCCGGTGCTTATTTATTTATTTACTTATTGTGATTTGGGTGAAAGTTTACAGAGCAAATTCACTTTCCATACAGCAGCTCACATACACTTTGTCCCGTGCAGTTGACTACAATCTCCCACAATGCAACAGCTCCCCTTCCACTTCCTCCCCACAGTTACCGCTTCCCTGTGTCCTTCCCTCCATGCACTCCTGCCCCCGAGCTGTGCCCCTGTGCGTACACAGCCCTCTGTTCTCAGTGAGGCACTGATGAAGTGCCTCCTGTGCCAACACAGCCCGATTGCCGTCCAGTTGATTCTGACTCCTGGTGACCCTGTGTGTCTGAGCAGAACTGTGCTCCGTACGTTTTCAGTGACTTTTTTGGATGTAGGTCACCAGGCCTTTCTCCTAGGCACGTCTGGGTGGACTCCCACCTCCAGTGTTTTGGGGAGCAGTGAGTGCATTGGCCGTTTGTGCCCCCAGGGCTGTCTGTGCATTGTTGTTGTTGTTAGGTGCCAGCGAGTCGTCTCTGACTCATAGCTACCCCATGCACAGCAGAACGAAACATCGCCCAGTCCCACGCCAGCTCTATGATCCTTGCTATACTTGAGCTCATCACTACAGCCACCATGTCAACCCATCCCATTGAGGGCCTTCCTCTCTTCCGTCGACCCTGCACCTTACCAAGCATGGCATCCTTCTCCAGGGAATGGTCCCTCCTGACAACATGACCAAAGTGTAAAATAAGAAGTCTGGCCATTCTTGCCTCCAAGGAGCATTCCAGCTGTATTTCCTCCGGGACAGACCTGTTAGTTCTTTTAGCAGTCCACGGTACTCTCAGCATTCTTCGCCAGCACCACAGCTCAAAGGCATCCACTCTTCTTTAGTCTTCCTTATTCATTGTCCAGCTCTCACGTGCATATGAGGGGATTGAAAATACCATGGCTTGTGTCAGGCACACCTTAGTCCTCAAGGAGACATCTTTGCTCCTCAGCACTTGAAAGAGGTCCTTTGCAGCTGACTTGCTCAGTGCTACACGTCGTCTAATGTCCTGATTGCTGCTTCCATTGGCGTTGATTGTAGAACCAAGCAATGTGAACTCTTTGACAACTTCAGTCTTTTCTCCATTCATCATGATGCTGATTATAGGTCCAGTTGAGATGAATTTTGTTTTCTTTATAGTGAGATGTGATCCATACTGCAGACTGTATTCTTTAATCTTCATCAGTAAGTGCTTTAAGTCATCCTCACTTTCAGCAAGCAAAGTTGTGTCAGCAGGTTGTTAATGATTCTTCCTCCAATCTTAATGTCACGTTCTTCTTCATATAGTCCAGCTTCTTGGATTATTTGTCAGCATACAGATTGAATTAAGTATGGTGAAAGGATGCAACCTTTGCAAGTATGGCATAGCCGAGTGAGTGCATTCATTTGTTGAAACATCTCAGTGGGTATTCCATCAATTCCCAGAACCTTGTTCTTTGCCAATTTTAAACCTTCTTGATTTTAAACCATGCAGTGTCCCTTTGTTCTGTTCAAACAACAGCCTCCTCGTCTGTGTACTGGTTCCTCATGAGTACAATTAAGTGCTCTGGAATTTCCATTCTTCTCAATGTTACCCATAATTTGTTATGATCCACACAATCAAATGCTTTTGCATAGTCAATAAAACACAAGTAAACATCTTTCTGGTATTCTTTGCTTTGAGCCAAGATCCATCTGACATCAGCAATGATATCCCTCATTCCACATCCTCTTCTGAATCTGGCTTGCTTTTCTGGAAGTTCTCTGTCAATATACTGCTGCAATCGTTTTTGAATTATCTTCAGGAAGATTTTACTTGCGTGCGATGTTAATGATATTGTTCGGTAATTTCCACATTCTGTGGGATCACCTTTCTTTGCAATGGGTACAAATATGGATCTCTTCCAGTCAGTTGGCCAGGTAGCTGTCTTCCAAATCTCTTGGCACAGCTGAGTGAGTGCCTCCAGCACAGCATTCATTTGTTGAAACATCTCAGTGGGTATTCTGTCAATTCCCAGAACCTTGTTCTTCGCCAATTCCTTCAGTGCATCTTCTACCTCTTCCTTCAATACCATTGGCTCTTGATCATATGCCACCTCCTGAAATGGATGAACATCGACCAGTTCTCTTTGGTGCAGTGACTCTGTGTATTCCATCCATCTTCTTTTGATGCTTCCTGCATCATTCAATATTTTGCCCATAGAATCTTTCAATATTGCAACTTGAGGCTTGAATTTTTTCTGCCGTTCTTTCAGCTTGAGAAATGCTGAGCGTGTTCTTCCCTTTTGGTTTTCTAATTCCAGATCTTCACACATTTCATTACAGTAATTGGCTTTGTCTCCTTGAGCTGCTCTTTGAAACCTTATGTTCAGCTCTTTGATCCTGTCACTTCTTCCATTTGTTGTGCTCAGGCACCTTGAATATACCTTTCAAAGGCAGTTAGCAAAGTGGTTGTAAATAGTCTACAGCCAGAGTGGTGGTGGTGCGGTTAGGTGGCATCAAGTCTGAGTTGGTTCTGACGCATAGGGACCCGCGTACAACAGAAGGAAACACTGCCCGGTCCTGCACCATCCTCACAATCGTTGCTGTGTTTGAGCCCATCATTGCGACCAGTGTGTCAGTCGATCTTGTTGAGGGTCTTCCTCTTTTTTGCTGCCTGGAGAACCTGGGTTCAAATCCCAGCTCTGCCTCTTGTACGCTGTGTGACTTGGCCCCTTGGCCTCAGTTTTCCTCATTGTAGGGCTGGGAGAAGATGCAATGAGTTGGTATCTGTGAAGGGAAATTATAAAATAGGAGTCCGTGGGCTATCCTACCCAGAAGGTGGGTGTGCAGGTGGCCACGCTGACGTCCTCTCTGCCCCATCTCCCAGCGGCGCTGGCAGCCGAGGCTGAGGGCCCGGAAGTGGCGTCGGTGGAGGATCAGAGGAAGCAGCAGGGCTACTTTGTGCGTCTGGGCTCCCTGTCGGCACGACTACGCCACCTAGCGTACGAGCATTCTCTGGGGAAACTGAAGCAGAGCAAACACCGCGCCCAGGACACACTGGCTGAGCTGCAGGACACGCTGGAGCTGGTGAGCGCCCTCGGCCCGCCCCCGCCCCACGATGCAGACCAATGAGCGCGGACTGAGCGCCAGCTGCGGGCCTGCTCTGAAGGGGACCACCGAGCTAAACTCAGCTGCCTCCATCTGCGTGTGATTAGGGCTGAGGGCGGGGGGCCCAGGGGCAGCCAAGGCTCGGCTCGCCGAGTTGGGAGGAGTTTCTTGGAGAAGGGGAAGTTACTGCTAATTACAGAAATGAGAAGTACTTTTCCCACTGAATTGCCCGTCTCTCCCGCTTCCAGAGGAAATTAAACAGCATTTCCTTACCGAGTTTAATAAGTTCAGATTCCCCTAGATCTCTGCTCCCCTAGCACCTGCCTCATCTCAGCACTTCCCAGAAATCTGGGAGGCCCCCTCGACTCCCTTCTTCTCCCCTCACACTTCCAACACGTCAGCCCTACTCGCAGCAGGGGTGGCACCGCCCTGCATGAGGTTGGTCAGCCCCGCCCTCGTTTCATCCGGAACCCGCCCACTTCTCCCCCACCTCATCGTCCAGCCTCATCGTCTTCACATGTTCAGTGCAGTCGCTCCGCCCTCGTTCCCCGGCTCCGCCTTCACCCCAGTCTCTTCTCCCTGAAGCAGCCAGAGGGCACCCTTGAGCAACTGAGTCAGGGCCTGTCCGTCCTAGGCTCACAGCCCGCCAGGGATCCCACTTTCCTGTTGGTAAAAGCCGAGTCCTCCTCGGCCCACAGGGCCCCCTGAATGATCCTGTGCAGGAGAGGGCGGGTAGGTTGGCTGGGGCGGGGTCATCGAGTGTGAGAGGACGCACGCGGAAGATGCTCTCTAAATGCTTATGGAGGCCGGGCCCAGGTAGGCTCTGCCCCGGCCTCACGCCTGCATCACCACCGTCCTGTCCCCACAGATCAACCTCATGCAGGGTGGGGCCGACCCCGCCGTCCCCGCCCGTCCTGGGAAGGTGCACCAGCTGTGGGGGGACTGGAAGCAGCGGTCCCCGGAGAACGGTCGTCGCCGGAGCCAGGTGAGATGGGGGGACCCTGCCAGCCCAACTGCTGGGGGTGGCGCAACAGAAAGGCAATGGTCCCTTTCCATTTTCACGGTGGAAACTGAGGCAGGGTGTGGGCCCTTTCGTTTAATGGACATGGGGAAACTGAGATGGGGTTTGGTCCTACTGAGTGTGCATTGGAGAAACTGAGGCAGGGTGATGGCTCCGTTGGGTGGCCATGGGAGAAACCGAGGCAGAGTGAAGCCCCCACCCCTGAGTGATCATGGGGAAACTGAGGCAGCCCATGTCTCATTGGGTGTCTACAGGGAAAGAGACAGGGCTCAGTCCTGGTGGGTGTCTGTCGGGGAAACTGAGGCAGGGTTCTGTCCCCCAACCCGCAGGCGGAGCTGGAGACGCTGGCGCTTTCGCGCAGCCTCACGTGGGAACTGCAAAGCACAGTGGATGCGCTAGAGACCAACGTTCGGGGCCTGCCCCCCAGCGCCCAGGAGAAGGTGGCTGAGGTGCGGCGCAGCGTGCACGCCCTGCAGGCCGCCTTCGCCGACGCCCGCTGCTTCGAGGATGTGCCGGCGGCCGCGCTGGCCGAGGGCCGGGGCCGCGTGGCGCGGGCACAGGCCTGCGTGGACGAGCTGCTGGAGCTGGTGTTGCAGGCCGTGCCGCTGCCCTGGCTTGTGGGGCCCTTCGCGCCCATCCTCGTGGAGCACCCTGAGCCCCTGCCGGACCTGGAGTCCCTGGTGGATGAGGTCATCGGGAGCCCCGATCCCCGCTGGGCGCATCTGGACTGGCCAGCCCAGCAGAGAGCCTGGCAGGCCCAGCACGGAGACGACCCGGGCCTCCAAGGTGACATTCCGGAGCAGGAACCCGAGCCTCCCAGCCGCCCGGTCAAGCACACCCTCATGCCGGAGCTAGACTTCTGACCGGATATGATGTGCGTTAATGGGAGGTCTGAGGCAGAGGCAGGCTGCCTCCCCGTCCCCAACACGCTGGGCTCTCTGCTGCCCCCTTGTGGCCACGCGTAAGCACTCGCGGCCTTGACTTTAGTCTGGAGTTGCCCAGTGGGTTAGAATTCAGAACCCACCAGCCACTCCTGAGAAGGAAGGTTGGGCAATCTACTTTCCTAGTGATACCGCCTTGGAAACCCAAGAAGGGGTCACTATGAGTCTGATCCGACTCCACGGCATGAGGTTTGTTTGTTTTTTAGACCAGTTTCAGGGAGATCTAGTGGCACAATGGTTGAAGTGCAGGGCTGCCCTTGGGTTAAAGATGACAGCCTGGGAAACTATGGAAGAATTCTGCTATGTCACGTGGGGTTGCTATGAGTTGAAAACTGACTTGAAGGCACACGATGACAACACCAGCTTCACCAACACCTGAGCCTCCTTACTCTCTTCCTTGGCCAGAGAGGGACTCTGAGGTCCAGAGAGAAGCAAGGACTACAACCGAATCAGATCCACCTTCAGCCCAGAGTGGAGTTCTTGTCTCTGCCCCCACTCCCTTGCTAGGAAGCTGTTTACAGTGCTCCCCTGAAAACAAGCCTTTGGCCCGTATTTTGGGTGCCTATTTTCAATTTGGGGCTTTGTAAAAGGAGGTTCCCTTTCTTCCCTAGTTTGTGCATCCTGCACTGAGGGGTCCCTAGAGCCCCTGGCTGCACCAGCTCGGCCTGCCACACCCACTTGCTTTTCTGTTGGGGGTTTGTTCTCCAGAATAAAGGTTCTTCGTGTTCACAGGCCTGTGGCCTCTGTTCTGGCCCCAGTGAATCTCTTTCTGCCCTGGCTCTCAGGGCCTCAGGGTGTGTGACTGAAGGGCTGTGAAGGGGTAGCATTTCAAGCCAAGGGTCAAGATCTGAAAGGAACCCTGTCTCTCTACTAGTGGGTCATCCTGCCTAGAATTCCACCATTAGTGCCCAGCCCACCTGGGTTAAGCATTGCCCTCTCGGAAGCAGCTCCCTGGAGTGGCAGCTGTTCTCACTTTAGTCTGAATTTTTTTTTCTTGAAAACTGCAGGGAGCAGGGCCAGGAAGGGTGTTCTGGTTAACTAGTGCTGCTCTGATAGGAATATATACCATAAATGGGATGGTTTGAACAAACAGGAGTTTATTCTCTTACAGTTTGGAGGCTTTAAGTCCAAGTTCAAAGCACCAGGCTCTAGGGGCTGGGTGAAAGCCCCTCAACCTTGGAGTCCAGCTCTGCCTCCTGCTCCCGGCCCACTGGAGCTAAAGGCGTTTCTTCACTCAGACAGCTGCTGGCTGCTGAGACTGAGAAGCCCCAAGTTTGACAAGTAGAAAGGCACAGTCCCGATGTTACCAATCCACATGGCAGGCCATTAACTTAAGTCCACTGTAAGTCCCAAGATCGGCAGAGCATAGCAGGCTGCTGAACAATGACACGGCTACGTGCTGTGTCCAAGCGTGCCATAAGCTTGATACTATTCCCAAGGCTTCTGCTTATATATAAGAAGCAGACCACATCCCAAAGGCAGCTACTCAGCTGTTCACAGTAGATTCCACCATGGAGTTGATTACCAGTCTCATCATGGGGAATAGTATATCCAGCTGCCCAGCCATTCAACCAGGCCCAGCCAAGTTGACACACAAACTCCTCCTCCACAAGGGGGGAGGAAGTCCGAAGGGGCAGCCCCTCCTCCACCTACCTCCCTGGACCTGAGGAGTCTGCCTTGCTGTGGTTTCTCTAGCAGGGCTGGTTGGGAATGGGGAGACCAAGGCAGGGCAAGGGCCACGGCCTGTCTCATGAGGCCCTCCTGTCCTTTGACCACATTCTTGGTTGCCTGCAGCTTCCCCTGTGGCTGGGTAGGGTGTTGGGGAACCACAGTGGGGGGAGGAGGCAGAGGTCGGGGGTGGCCCCTGGCTTGCTAGGACCTGGTCCAGAGGGCGGCTCTGGGTGTCCCAGCCACTTCCTCTCTGCCCACTGCTTGGAAACTTCCATACATCCATACCGCCCTGTGCCCCTCAGACCAAAGTCCTAGCACTTCATTTGAGGACTTCCAGCTTCATCCTCCAGTCTACCCACAAACTTTGCTCTGTCCCCATTGAACTGCACAGTTCCTCCCTTCTGGGTCTTTACTCCGGCTGTGCCTGCTGCCCACTCTCCCACCCATCCTCCAGCCCCAATGTCTCCTCCTCCAGGAAGACTTACCTGACTCTACCCCACCATGTTAGCTCCCTCCTGCAACTCACCATAGCTCACCTACTCGGCCAGTAAGTAGCCTTGCCCTCTTTTCCGCCATGATGGTGGGAGCTCCCGGAGGACTGGCCTGGGGAGGGTGGGCAGAAATCATATGCTGGAAGATGAAAGTAGGGCTTTTGGCAGTGGGACCAGACCAGGCAAAGGCATGGCAGTGGTGAGATCAGTTTACCTGGAACAGAGAGGGGAAGGGAATGGGCTAAGTCCTGGGATTTGGGGGAGAGTGGTGGTTAGGGTAGGAGCTGTGGTGGTGTAGTGCCTAAGGCATCTGACTGCTAAACAGAAGGCTGGCAGTTCAAACCCACCAGCCACTCCTCGGAAGGAAGGTTGGGCAATCTACTTCCATAGTGATATCGCCTCCGAAACCCAAGGAGGGGTCGCTATGAGTCAGGTCCGACTCCATGGCAGTGGGTTTGGTTTTGGTTTTTGGTGGTTAGGGTACTAAGCTGGGCCCCATCCTGGCCTTTAAGCTGGGAGGGCAAGTGACGAGAGTATGAAGGTGTGATGCCCAATCCAGGAAATGCTTCACCCACACAAGCTGTCAGCCATCCATGTATGTGTTCACTCATTCATTTGTTCACTCAACAAACATGTATTGAGTGAGGAAATTGCTCTTGGTGCTGGGGACACAGCCATGAGCAGAACAGATGAAGCCCTTGTCCCCTGTGAGTTGACAATGAAGTAGAAGAGATGGGCAACAAACAAGAAAAATAAGTAAATTATAGTGTTTGACAAAATGATGAGAAAATTTAAAAAGAATGAGGATAGGAGTGTGTGGACTCCAAGGAGGGGCGTATACTTTTAAGTAGGGGAGTCCAGGAAGGTGACTTGAGCAAAAGCCCTTGAAGGAGGTCAGAGATTTGGACCAATAGCCTTCCAGACAGGGCACAGCCTGTGCAAAGGCCCTGCGGCAAGACCGGGACTATGAGTTGGAGGAATAGCCAGGAGGTCCATGTGGCCAGAGCAGAGAGAGTGAGGGGGAGGGCGGAGGCAGGGAGGACAGGGAGGGAACAGGGCAGGTTGTGCAGGGCCTTGCGGGCCATGAGATGGACTCAAGCTCTGACTTCATGGGAGGTGGGACCCCAGAAGGCTGTGAGCAGAGGCAGACAGACCTGACTGAGGTGCTCACGGGCACCCTCTGGCTGCAGCAGCGGGGGGACTAGGGCTTTTTGAGGGAGGCAGGAGCCTAGGAGGGCTGTGAGCAGAAGGATGGGCCTGACTCAGATGTTTATGATTATTTTTATTATTTTCTTTCCCGGTCCCCCCCCCATGCTGGGCTGTGTCCACTCCATGGGGTGGGGAGGGACATACCGCAACTTTCCCCACATCTCTTGGGAAACACTGGCTGGGGGGAGGAGAGAGGTTGGGGATCCCCTCCCTTCTATTCCCTATTTGGTAAACACAGTGTGGGCTCCAAGGAGACGGCCTGGGGGTCATCAGGCCCAGCGGCTGGGTCCTCCTCCCGGCTCAGTGCGCAGAGCTACAATCAAATCTGCCTTCCCCAAACCCCCACACTGGGATCCAGGGGCAGGAAGAGGGGGAAATTGAGCCCAGGGGGCGAGGTGGCCATTCCTCTACTTGCCCCCCACAGCTACTTGGCACACAGGTTTAGGTCTGCGTTCAAATCCTGTCCCTGGCATTTCCTGGTGGTTAAGGGCAATCTACTTCCGTAGTGTTACTGCCTCAGAAACCCAAGGAGGGGTCGTTATGAGTCGGATCCTACTTGATGGCAGTGAGTTTGGGTTTTGGTTTTGGTAAGGCACTGGGTTGAATCCAAATCTTGCCCACAAGCTGCTTCCTCCAGGAAGCCTCCCTGAGTTGATTCTAGCCCACCAGGCCTGGATCTCACTCCCAGTACATCCCTAGCTCTGTCGGTGCTCCGTCTTGCCCTGGGGTCTGTGTTTCACCTTTTTGTCAAGGGGTGTCTCTTCTGGAAAGTGACACGTCCCCCTTCCTGCTCAGAACAGCCCTCTTCTCAGAGATCTTTTCTGCCTGGGCTGTGCTAGGCTGATGTTTGTCGAGCACCTGCTGGGTACCTGCACTGTGACTAAACAGGTTGCATGCACGACCTCATTCCACATTCACAACAACCCCATGGGTTGGTCAAGCATTTATTAAGTGCCAACTGTGTGTCAGGCCCTGGTCTAGGACACAGCGGGGGAACAAAACAGATCTGGAGGAGGGGAGGGAGGTAGCCATGGGGACATACGAGGGAAGGGTGTTCCAGGAAGAGGGAACAGCCCATGCAAAGGTCCTGGGGCAGGAAGAGCAAGGAGACCTGAGTGGCTGGAGCAGAGTGGGTGAGGGGAGAGTTGGAGGAGTGGAGGGCAGAGACCATCAGAAGGAAGCAAGACCTGGTGAGCCACAGGGCAGAGTATGGAAGAGGAAACTGAGGCACAAAGATGGTAACGAGTCAAGGGATCCCAGCAGAACAGGGATCTGAACTGCACCCATTTAGTGGATGGGAATTGGAAGCAGTGCCTTGGGGGCACGGAGGGGCACCCCAGCCAGCAGTGAGCCACAGGCTAGTGGTGGAGGCGGGTGACTTGGGCAGCCACTTGGTGCTGAGAGCAGGGGAAGGGTGCTGGGCCCAGGGCCCGGGCAGGGCAGGCAGGCAGGCAGGCACGTGACTGCCCAGCTCCCCACCCCGCCTCCCCCCTTCAGGCCCGCTGGCCGCCTGCCTCTGTTGGCCTGGCCTGCGCCCGCCCCAGGCCCTATAAGGCCTGGGAGCCGAGAGCAGAGCCAGCTGCCAGCCAGGACGTCCGCCGCTCTAAGGGATCCTCCCGCAGCCCAGGTGAGGAGGGCTGCGCCTGCCCCAGCTGGGTGGTGGTGAGGGGCTGCAAGGGTGTATGAGGGTGCAGTGGGGGAGGAGGCAGGAGCCCCCTGTTCACACACCTTCTCTGCCTGCTTCCAGCTGCTTCGAGCGCCACCATGTCTGCTCAAGATGGAAGGAGCCAAGATCCCCCCAAGTCCAAGGGCAAGGTAAAGAGAGGGGGAGAGCCCCTGCGCTCCTGAAGCCCACTACAGAGACCGAGGAAGGGGACCCCCACAGTCCTGGTGGGGGGTCCTGGGAGACACGATGCCAACTCTTGCTGCCTGTCCCAGCTTAGGGGTGGGGGATGACAGGAGCTCCCGTAGACGTTTCGTTCCTCCCCGCTGTGTGGTCCAGGGCCAGCCATGGCCCCTCTCTGAGCTTTAGTTTCTCCTTCTATGAAATGAGGTCATGGGAGGAAAATGTCTCGGGAGACCTGGAGGCCGATCCATCTCCTATTCTGTCTGAGGGAGGCGGGCTGTGTCTGCCCATTACCCAGATTGGGACACAGAGGCTCAGACACTTTCCTGAGGTCACCCAGGGAGCAGGAGGTGGTATTTGAACCCAGTCCTGTGTGATACCTTCATCATTCTTGCTCCTGCTGCATCTTGCTCCTGTTCACCTTGTTCCCCCCTCACCCCTAACCCTGCAGACCCTGAGCAGCTTTCTGGGGTCCCTACCCGGCTTCAGTTCTGCCCGGAACCTGCTGGCTAACGCTCACAGCTCAACAAAGGAGGCCCGGCCAAGTGCGGGCCCCGCAAGCACCCCTGTCCCCGAGGCCACCCAGCCCCAGGCTCAGGGTGAGTGGACAGCCCTATGGAGCAGGGGGTGTCTGAGGGTTGACCCCCAACAAGAGTGCAGGATGGAACGACCATTTTGGGAGCATTTCCTGTGTCTCATTAGACACCACCAGGCTGGCCCCATCATGAGTTGCCAGGTGGGGAAACGGAGGCATGAAATGATGGTGTGGCTCTCCCAAGGTGGCTCGACCAGCAGGTGGCAGAGCAAGGATTTGAGCCCAGCGTGTTGCCTTCGCACATCCCTCCCCACGCCCTCACCTGCCTCCCACCTGCCTGCTCATGAAGCATACCATGGGCCAGGTGCCGGGCGTGTTTGTACTCACCAAAGACTAATCCTTGGTCCCTGGGGTCACAGCGGAAGGGCATGGCAGGGTGGCAAGCCCGAAACAAGCAGGTCTGCTCCTCCCTGGACTGCTCGGCCCACCATCCCTCTGTTGGCCTCTGTGGCTCCCTATGCTCTCAGCACCTGCCAGATCAAGGCATCTTGGAGGCCACAGAGCCCTGGGCTCAGCTCTGCAGGTCCATCTGGGGGTACTCGACCTCCTGTGGGCAGTCAGGGAGCCTGGGGCGAGGGCAGTGTGATCTGGGCCCGGAGCCCCAGGCAGCTGACTCCTGCTCCACATACCTTGGGCAACAGGCAGCTGGCAGCTGCGGAGGGGCAGCCGCCACACGCCCAGGCTGCATGGGCCCCGGAACTCAGGGTGGGGATAGTCTGGAGGAGGTGGCCTCAGCCTCTCCCTGTGGGCCACCAGTTACTGTCCCTGTAGCCCCTGGGTGGGTAAGCAAACACCAAAAACCAGGCCCGAAGGAGGAAGAGGGGCAGGGAGAGAGGGCACCCCAGTGGAGAAAATCCCCCAGAGCCTTTGCCCCAGGGTATCCCAGCCCCAAGGGTTGAGAGCCTCTTGGGGGACTTGTGGCCCAGCCTGGCTGTTGGCTGTGGATGCAACCTCCTGCTGTCCCTGGCGGGGCAGCTGGGACATTCCTGACCTTTTGGGCTGTGCCCATCGATTGCGTAATGGGCACTGGGACAGATAGTGCAAACCTCAACCTCACCCTTCTTGCCTTCTCTGCCTAGCCCCGGTCTCCGCAGTGGCCACCGACCCGGAGCAGATGGTGGGGGGGATGCAGCCTTCAGAGAAGGTGAGAGGGGCCCACAGGGGCTAGCCATCAGGCCTCCACCTCCCAATGAGGCAGAAGCCCCCTTCTCGGGGATCAGATCCGGCCAGGAGGAGACAGACACCCCTGCAGGTCATGCCTGCCATTCCAGGCGGGTCCTTCCCCCCTGAGCCTCTGTGTCTACATCCGTGAAATGGGGACCTTAGGTTCTACCTCAAGGCTCCTAAGGATCTACACAGTCCTTCGCTCTGTGTCACTGTCAGCTGTCAAGTCAGCCCATGACCCACGGCGACCTTGTGCATAGTGGGACAAAACGCTGGCCAGTCCTGAGCCACTCCTGTGATGGGTCACAGACCGTTACCCTGTAATACAGAACGTTCATGGGCTGGTTTTCAGAAGTGGTTCTCCAGGCCTTGCTTCCTGGTCCATCTGAGTCTGGAAGTGCCACTGAAATCTGTTCAGCATCCAGGCCACACACAAACCCCACAGACAGACCGGTGGTGGCCACACACATGGTGCACTAGCCGGAAATCAAACCTGGGTCTTCCTCATTGGAAGCGAAAATTCTACCACTGCCCTTGTGCCTAACATTACTGTTGGTCGCCGACAAGTCAATTCTGACTCATAATGATTCTGTATTAGAGTAGAGCTGCCCCACAGGGTGGTAGCATAGTGCCTAAGGCATTTGACTGCTAACCAGAAGGCTGGTGGTTCAAACCCACCAGCCACTCCTTGGAAGGAGCCAGGTCTTTTCTCCCATGGAGCTCCTTTTAACCACTGTGCCACTAGGGGCCTTGGTATCTAGCACACCAAGCCAAAACCAAACCCTTGCCAGCAAGTCAATTCAATTCTGACTCATAGCAACCTTACAGGATTTGAACTTGAACCTCAGACACTGAGGCATGACCCACAGTGCATCTGCCGTCGGTCCTGGCTGAATGGTGACTGCCAGAGTTATTGTCCTCTCTGCCCGGCCAAGTAGAGGAGCTGATGGATGACAGTGGAAAGACCTGGCAGGGTAGCAGGGCCCACAAGAAGCAGGACCACTCTTTCTAAGACTGCCCATCCCACCCTCCCTCTGGAGCCCTCCATGGCTCCCCTGTGCCCTCACATCTGCCAGATATGGGCATCTCTGAGGCCAAAGAGCCCTGGGCTAGGCACTGTAGATGCTTCCAGCTCAATTTAAAATGGCCTCCAATGCCTAGTCCCCACAGGTGAGGAGCCTGGACCCAGGCTGACCTCTGCTCTCATGACAGCCCACTCTCTCCCCACTTATGACTACTACCCCTCCAACCTTCTGGGAGGGCCTACATTTGGTCACGTTGTGAGAAGGGACCATTCTCTGGAGAAGGATGTCATGCTTGGTAAAATGGAGGGTCAACGAAAAAGGGGAAGGCCCTCAACGAGATGGACTGACACAGTGGCTGCAACAATGAGCTCAGGTCTAGCAGGGATCGTGAGGCTGGTGCAGGACTGGTAAGTGTTTCATTCTGTTGTATGTAGGGTCACTGTGAGTCAGAGATGACTCGACAACACCTAAAACAACAATAGCCATCTATGTTGACTTCTAGTGGTTGTGAATTTCCAGTTGTGTTTGATGTTGTTATGTGCTGTTAAGTCAGACCTGACTCATAGTGACCCCTCCTTGGGTTTCTGAGGCAGTGTCACTATGGAAGTAGATTGACCAACCTTCCTTCTGAGGAGTGGCTGGTGGGTTTGAACCACCAGCCTTCTGGTTAGCAGTCAAGTGCCTTAGGCACCACACAACCAGAGCTCCCTGTGTTTGATACTGTATTTATTTATTTACTTTTCTTTGATGTTCTTCATGGTTTTAGGCTTTACTTTCAGGTCTTAGATACAACTTGAGTCCATTCCTGTATATGGTGTGATATGAGTTGGTTTCATTTTTCTGCAAATGGATCTTCAGTTTTGCCAGCACCATTTATTAAAGAGATTTTCTCTTTCCCATTTAATGAGCTTAGGTCTTTTGTCAAAGATCAGCTGTCCACAGGTGGTTGGATTTCTCAGTTCTGTTCCACTGGTTTATGTGTCTGCCATTGTACCAGTAACAGGCTGTTTTAACTACTGTGGCTGTGTAGTGGGTTTTGGGGTGGGGGAGTATGAGTCCTCCTGCTTTGTTCCTCTTCTTCAGCAGTGTTTTACTTCTCTGCAGTCTCTTTCCTTTCCATATCAAGTTGGTGATTAGTTCTTCCCTCTCATACTGTAGATCACTCTGGGTAGTCTTGACATTTTCATGATGTTAAGTCTTCCCATCCATGAGCATGGTATAGCCTTCCATTTATGTAGGTCTCTTTTGGTCTCTCATTGGACTAATTCCTAAACACTTCATCTTTTGGGTGGTTATTGTAAATGGTATTGCTTTCCTAATTTCCTTTTCAGAGTTCTCTTTGTTAGTGTAAAGGAATCCAACTAAATTTTGTATGTTGATCTTGCACCCTGTCACTTTGTTTAAACAATAAATTAGTTCCAGTTATTTTCTTAATGAGTCTCTGGGATTTTCTATGTATAAGATGTGTTCCTGTACTTTACTGACTGTGCAAAGGCCTTCCACTGTTGGGATGCCATTGAGAAGAATGGGAATTCTAAAACACTTAATAGTGCTCATAAGGGATCTGTACATAGGCCAGAGGCTGTCATTCAAACAAGGGGATACTGCGTAGTTTAAAATCAGGCAGGTATGCATCAGGGTTGTATCCTTTCACCATACTTAGTCAATCTGCCTGCTGAACAAATAATCTAAGAAGCTAAACTATCTGAAGAACAATGGGGCATTAGGATTAGCGAAAGACTCATTAACAGCCTGCAGTATGCAGGCTTGCTTGATGAAAAGTGAAAATGACTTCAAGCACTTACTGATGAAGATCAAAGACTATAGTCTTCAGTGTAGATTACACCTCAACATAAAGGAAAAACAAAAATCCTCACAACTGGACCAATAAGTAACATGATGATACATGGAGAAAAGACTGAAGTTGTCAAGGATTTCATTTTACTTGGATACACAATCCACATCCATGGAAGCAGCAGTCAAGAAATCAAACATCATATCGCACTGGGCAAATCTGCTGCAAAAGACCTCTTTAAAGTGTTAAAGAGTTAAGAAGTCACTTTGAAGACTAAGACACTGGCGCACATGATGGTCTTTTCAATTGCCTCATATGCATGTAAAAGCTGGACAGTGAGTAAGGAAGATGGAAGAAGAATCGATGGATTTGCAGTCTAGTGTTGGTGAAGAATACTGAATAGACCATGGACTTCCAGAAGAATTAACAAATCTATCCTAGAAGAAGTACAACCAGAATGCTCCTTAGAAGAAAGGGTGGCCAGACTTCTCTCTCTTGTACTCTGGCCATGTTACCAGGAGGGACCCGTTGCCGGAGAAAGAGATCATGCCTGGTAAGGCAGAGGGTCAGTGAAAACTGGGAAGAGCTTCCCTGAGATGCGCTGACACATGGCTGCAACATGGGCTCAAGTATAGCAAGGACTGTGAGGAGGATGCAGGGCTGGGCACCGTTTCCTTCTATTGAACACAGGGTGGCTATGAGTTGAAACCGACTTGATGGCAAACAACAGTAGCAACAACAACTATTATTGTGGAGTCATCTATTTCTCTCTAATATTCTGTTAAAGTTTGACTTACATATTTTGGGACTCTTTGGCCATTTAGAGATTGTGGTTATGTCCTCTTGTTCAACTGATCCTTTAATCATTATATAATGTCCTTTTGTCTTAAAGTCTATTTTATTAGAAATTAGTATTGCCACTCCTGCTCTTTTTTGATTGCCATTTGCTTGATGTATTTTTTCCAACCTTTCATTCTTAAGTCTATTTTTATCTTTCTCTCTAAAGTGAGTCTCCTGTAGACAGCATATTGATGGATTTTGTTTTCTTATCCAATCAGCAACTCTCCATCGTGAGTGGTACAATTAATCCACTTACATTCAGTGTAATTATACACAAGTATGAATTTATTGCTGTCATTTTGTTATGTGTTTAGTCGTGGTATTAATAATTTCTTTGTTCCATATAATTTTATCTGCTGAGTTTGTTTTATTTTTTTATCATCTCCTTCATTTCTATTGTTTTATTATTTCCTAAATATTTGTAATTTTCCTCTTTTTTATATTGATGAGAAGTTTTATTAACTTTCTTTGAGGTTACCCTGTGATTTATTTTTTCTTCCCAAACTTAAAATAATCTGTTCTATCTCATAATTGTTTTGACTTCCTCTCCATTTGGAAGTTCTGTACCCACACTATTTATTCTCTCTTTTTGGTTTGTCATTATCTTCATTTACCAAGTGATGTCTCTGGTTCCCTGTTTTCAGCCTTGTAGGTTTATTTTACTTTGGATACCCCTGTATCTGGGTTGGTTTCTGGGTGATGTCATCACGTGTGTTAATCTCAGATTACTGTTTGCTGTTGTTAGTTCTCTGTCCAAAGGATGTCGTTTAGTGTCACTTGTAAGGCTGGCTGGTTTTTAAAATCCCCTTAAGTTCTGTTCATCTGGAAATGTTCTGATTTCACCATCATATTTGAAGGACAATTTTGCTGGGTATATAATTCTTAACTGGCAATTTTTTTTTCAGGCTTTTACATATGTCATCCCATTGCCTTCTCACTGCATAATTTCTGCTGAGAAATCAGAGCTTAAGTCTTATTGGTTTCCTTTTGTAGGTAATTTTTTTTCTCCCCTGAGCTGCTTTCAAGATTCTTTGTCTTTGGTTTTGGGCAGTTTGATGATGATGTGTCTTGGTGATTTTCTTTTGGGGTCCCTATTTGGGGTTCACTGAACTTCTTGAATGGATATCTTCTCATCTTTCATCATATTAGGAAGTTTTCTTCCAACATCTTTGACAATTTTCTCTATGGTTTTATTTGTCTCTTCCTCTTCTGGGTTTACAATCACATTTAAGCTATTCCTCTTAATGGTGTTTCACATAAATCTTAGGCCATCTTCTTTTGTTTTCTTCTCTTCCTCCCCCTCCCCTTCTTCATCTTCCCCCCCCCCCGGTTACTCCCTTAACAAAGTAGGATTGAGACATTTGCCTTCAATCTTGCTAATTCTGTCTCCCATTGATTCAGTTCTACTCCTTTGCCCTTTCAATGTGTTATCTATTTCTGAAATCTTAGTATCAATCTTCTGGATTTCTATTTGGTGTTTTTGTACGGTTACTAATTTTTAATTTATTTTGTCAGTTTAGTTTGTTCTTGTCTTGTTTTCCTGAATTCTTCTAGAGTTTTGTCTGTGTTTTCCTTAATTTTGTCAGTGTTTTCTTTGATCTGTCTCTCAATCCATTGAAGATACTTTCATATAATGAGTGAGTTCATTTTAATAAGATATTTTATCTCCTTGTGCTAACTGGAAAACCAGCCTTAATATTTATCAAAAAGAGGAAATAGGCAAAGTGAACTAAAACATTTAAATCAATTAAGTCAGAGGCGACTGTCTATTGCTGAGTCGCAGGCATTGGGGCACTGTCAAGGGTTCAAGAGGGATTAAAGTCCTGGAGACAGTTCTAGTTCCGTGGTAGAGTTCGCACCTTCCATGCAGGAGACCTGGTTTCCTGGCCAGTGCACTTCACGTGCAGCCACCTCTGTCAAGTGGAGACGTGTGTTGCCAGGATGCTGAGCAGGTTTCCATGGAGCTTCCAGACTAAGATGGACTAGAAGAAAGGCCTGGTGATCAGCTTCTGAAAATCAGCCAATGAGAACCCATGCATCACAGCAGTCTGGTCCACAACCAATCACGGGGCAGGTGCAGGACTGCACAGTTTCATTCCCTTGTGAATGAGGTCCCATGAATCAAGGGCTGACTAGATGGCAGCTGACAACTATAATCCAACGGAGCCCCTGGGTGGCAAAAACCATTAACTCACCCAGCTGCTCACTAAAAGGCTGGAGGTTCAAGAACACCCAGAGGCACCTCGGAATAAAGGTCTGGCAATCTATTTCCAAAATCCGTAGGGCACACAGTTCTACTCTGTGCACGTGGGGTTGCTGTGAATCAGATTTGACTCAACAACAATGGGTTTGGTTTTGGTTTCTGTAAGGCAACAGCAGCAGTTACAAAACGGGGGCCTTTCTTAGTTTGGGGGCTTTAGAGGGAGTTAGAAAGCAGTTGCTTGTACTATATGAAGCCAAGGTTATCAAGACTGGATCCTGGTGCCCCTCTCATAGATGAAAGAAAGGTGTTCATTGGAGGTGGGGGCTAAGGAGGAAGTAGGGTCTTGGAGTGAGATGGATGTCAGGATAGAGGATGCCAGGAGTGGGTGGTGTCACCTTTGATGTCCTTTCTTACCAGGTGACCTCTGGGACAAAGGACATGCTGTGTTCCAAGGTGACCAGGACCAAGGACGCCTTCTCCTCTGGGGTGGCCAATGTGGTAGATGCGGCTAAAGGTGTGGTCCAGGGAGGAATGGGCACGGGCCAGTCTGTGCTCTCCAGCACCAAGGAGGTGATGACCAGTGGGGTCACAGGGGCCATGAATGTGGCCAAGGGAGCCGTCCATGGAAGCTTGGATACCACCAAGACTGTGCTAACCGGCACCAAGGACTCTGTCTGCACCGGGGTGACTGGGGCTGTGGGCATGGCCAAAGGGGTAGTCCAAGGCGGTTTTGACACCACCAAGTCAGTCCTCACCGGCACCAAAGACACCATGGCCACTGGGGTCACTGGGGCCGTGAATGTGGCTAAAGGAGCCATCCAGACAGGCCTGGACACCACCAAGACAGTACTGACTGGCACCAAGGACTCTGTCTGCACTGGGGTGACCGGGGCAGCGAATGTGGCCAAAGGAGTGGTCCAAGGCGGTTTGGACACCACCAAGTCAGTCCTCACTGGCACCAAAGACACTGTGGCCTCTGGGGTCACTGGGGCCGTGAATGTCGCTAAAGGAGCCGTCCAGACTGGCCTGGACACCACTAAGACTGTGCTGACTGGCACCAAGGACTCTGTGTGCGTTGGGGTGACTGGGGCCGTGGGCATGGCCAAAGGGGTGGCCCAAAGCGGTTTTGACACCACCAAGTCAGTCCTCACCGGCACCAAAGACACTGTGGCCACTGGGGTCACTGGGGCCATGAACATGGCTAAAGGAGCCGTCCATACAGGCCTGGACACCACCAAGACAGTACTGACCGGCACCAAGGACTCTGTCTGCACTGGGGTGACTGGGGCAGCAAACATGGCCAAAGGAGTGGTCCAGGGCAGTTTGGACACCACCAAGTCAATCCTCACCGGCACCAAAGACACCGTGTCCAGTGGGGTCACTGGGGCTGTGAATGTGGCCAAAGGAGCTGTCCAGACAGGTCTGGACACCACCAAGAAGGTCCTCACTGGCACCAAAGATACAGTGACAAGTGGCATCAGTGG